CCAGGCTAACTTTTTCATGTTCATTTTCTCATGTAACCAACAACATAATTTTTGATTGAGAATTATTTCAAGCAATTTCAGCAATTCGCCAAATCCTAACTCTATTACCCACTCTTTGTGAATTTTTGTCATTTCACTTATCAATAGTCTTAATGTTAAAGGGCGATAACACACATTTATATTCTTTGGGCATTAATTAATAAGATAAACATTAGGAAAGGTCACTCTAAATAGCATGCATATTAAACATTCTTATTAGTCTAGCTCTTACCACTTTAAAATTTTGGGATTTTTGTGACTGTGAACCTTTCCCATTTCATTATATGTATTCAATTAGTGCATAAATGCAATTATTGTCATTCCTTCCTTCAGTTGGCCCCTCCCTGCATGCCATTCCAGTACAACAATGATTCAAAATCCATCGGTTATCGCCTTCCCTCCCACATAACAAGTAAAAAGAATTATTTACTCATCCTCTAACCACTTCAATTCTAATATGTTATCATGTTAACTACGCAGACTTCTTACTTATGGAATAACAACCATATCACTATACAGAATTCAACTAATGTAGATTACTGGAGCAAAATAAACAAATCTCAAGGATACTTATAACCAGCAAAATTTTTAACGAAAATTTGCTATATCAATTTAACAGTTTCCTATTTCTACATATACATGAAGAATCTGTACTAAGCATATGCAATATTAATGTCTGTTGAATAAATCCTTTTATCCTTTTTCACTTTAATAGAACCGATACACAAATTGAAATAGAAACACATTGGAATACATAAATTGATAAAGTTAACTCTAGTTCTAATATAAATTGAACCAAAATTTTAATCAATCTATCCTTTTATAATAAAGAGAAATCAAACTCAATTTTAATAGAAATATATTGAAAAATATACAAAATGCGAAGTTAACTCCAATTCTAACATAAGTTGAAACAAATTTATAAATTAAATATACGCTCAATGCTACTTTCTTTCTTTGGAAAATTAGAATTGACTCCTTGATATCTCCTAAGGTAATCAATTCTTCCTCCGTTGTGATTATTCCAATCACCATTCACTTACTTTATCATGCAACATGACCTCCTACTTCGCGAGTCAGCTAGATCAGTGGCTCTTCGTTCGACGAAATAAGATTGGTCCTAGCAACTGATTCTCGCAAATGCCCTATATCAACTGCGATACCCCTTCCTTAGTTCATCCTTTGGTTTCCTATCTTCTCCTTTTTTCATATAACGCATTTGCGTTGCGGTTGATTGCATATACAAATGTGCCCTTCTAATTTTTATACATACGAGTGTATGCTTATCGAACTCCTATGTTGCCTCTTCTTAAATAGGGGCTCCCACTATATTTTACTTTTATTTTAATATCCGCAACTAGGGTGAGTCCAACGATACATCATTTGTGTAAAAAAATAGATAAATGATTCACAACTCAAATCGTATCAATGTGCGATGTTAAACAATACTTTTTATTTTGTGATTCCCTAGGTTAGACAATGGTTGAAAAATTCAGCTAGCACTAAGCCAAGCCACTCTTTCATTGATTCGTCCTCAAGAATCAACGAATATCTCATACACCTGTCAGACAAAGCAACATATATCATTTCAGCTATGGTTCGACACACGCCACCATCTCATTTTCATTTTCTTAATGTGATTTTTTCTAAAAAAAAATTGAAGATGGGAGAGTTTATCTTCAAATTTTCAATTAAATATTTTTATTAATTTAGTTAATTTTATTCTTGTTGATAATTTATATGATATAATTTTTTTATTTAATGAAAATTACAAAATTTAGTCAATAGCAAGAAAAAGTTTTAATATATTTTATATCTTTCACTAAACCTTTAAAGTGAATCTAAAATTTTTCTCATATTAATATTCATTACTTCAATATTTATCACTTCCATAGTAGAAATAACAACACAAATATTCATTACTTTAATATTTGTCACTTCTATAGTAGAAATAACGGCATAAAAATTTATGTATACAAGTGCCAATAGTCTGGTTAGTTTAGTGATGAGATGGGATGAGTATTAGCAAAATTTATAATATTCATATCCAAAAAATGTTTTAAAATTTTAAATACAGAATCATCACAAACTCGTTTAGATTTCCTTTTGAAATATCTACTGTCAAACCATTTAAAATTTTCATATCGCATTCGTTCAAAATCCATTTAATTAATATCAAACTTGCTTTAAATGATTTGGACAAAGAATTAAAAAGGAAAAGTATGAAGGACAAACAACTTTAAAATCCTATTAGTTTAATTAGTAATCAATTACTAAAAATTTTTTTAGTAATTGATTTGTTTGATATTTGATGATATTAGGATTTTGAGTTTTAGGCATATGTTTAATTTATTTTAATTTTTAATAAAATATTAGCCCAACTTACTTATATTGTTATCTTCGCTTTAATATCTAAACTTGCTTTAAATAGGTTTCTATATTAATTATTATTTTAAAATATCATTTAATTTTTATTTTTATTTTTTAGTTTTTGCTAAATTCTGTGAGCATATAATTAATTTTATAGTTTCTTTTTTGAGAAAAAAAATTTCTTTCCATGTTTTATATGATTTGCTAATATGACGCGTTATATAATAATTTTATATATATATAGTTTTATTTTCTATTATATATCAAATCATAAATCTTATAATGTATTCTTTAATAAATAATAATAAATTATATTTACTTTTATAGAATAATTACTTGCAGGAATTAATTATTACCAATCAAATGAAAAATAATAATTAAACATATTAATATTCTTACCATATTTAATATGTACATAATATAGTATAATATAACCAATCAAAATTAAATTACTTTTATTATTTCAACCAATAAAATTAAAATCTTTAAAGATATTATATTCTTATTATATTTGGTATATACCTCATTTAGATTATCCAATAGAATTTAGATATATAGAAAATAAATACACTAATCAAAATTAAAATATCTTTCTTTTGTGAACCAATAAAATTAAAATCCTGAAAAATATTATATTCTTACCATATTTGATATATATCTTACTTAGTTTATTCAATAGAATTTAGATTTAAATAGAAAATAACATACTAATTAAAATTAAATTACTTTTATTTTTCCAACCAATAAAATTAAAATCCTTAAAAATATCCTAAAAAAAAAAAATAGTAGGTAGGGGTGAGCGCTAAACTCAATGAGTAGGGTTAGATAACCCTCTCACCCCATATAATCACACATATGCTATAATAAATCATTTTAGTCCTCCGATTAGTTATATGATCATGCAGTTTGTCACGCAAATGGCAATACAATAGCAATCACAATTATTATCATCTTCATATAATCACATTACGTGGAGATCAGTCAGTGGCGTCACCGAAACCCTCAATGAGCCGTCCTCCCACATAGCCCATCCTCTCATAACGTGTGCACCAGGGAGCTGATCCCCTATACATGGCCGACCGGTCTAATCCTCACTTGACCAGCCCCTATACATGGCCGACCGGTCTAATCCTCACTTGACCAGCCCTCTCTTTTTTTTTTCCAATCTCTCTTTTCTTTTCCATACCAACAGGAGGCAACCTGATCGTCCCCGTCAAAACTAGATCATCAGGCGCACACAACAGGAGGCCACCTTGCGGGCTACCATCAAATCCAGATTATCAAGTGCGCCGAATAAGAGACCACCCTGTGGTTTTCTATATCATCCAGATCATATCATCAGGTGCACATGGGGCGCCGATCTCCCATATGGCCAACGGTCTCTTAGACCATCCTCACAAACCCATGGTGACCCACTTCATCCCAATTCCACACAAACAAGGCACAGTAATATCACAACACAAGTAATCAAGCAAATTAATCGCAATAATAATGCAGCACAATATAGCATTTTAACAAATGCATGATAACATTTAGCCGTAAATGCATGAATGCAAATATGCAGGCGGATGATGCGAATTATCTAACACTACTCACCATTCTTTATTGTCCTTTAAAGGACTATCTCTACTAATGCATCCATCCAGCTTTTGTCTCACCATCCTGAAATTTTTATAAGCATCTAGAAAGAAAATTCTGTGTAAGAATCCTAACTTCATAAATGTATTTGGCATTCATTTATTACTTTTTGAGGCTCTATAGCTATTTATCTCAACTCATCGAACTTAATTATATATATATATATATAACTTGTAATAAAACTTCTAATTATTTAGTAAGTAATATTTTTACTATCGTTTGGCACCAGAGTACAAGTGTCCTAATAATAATAATTATTATTATTATAATAAGATTAAAAGTTTTAGTTGTTACTACCTAGGATATAACTAATTTAATTCTTTATTAAGTGTTTCACCGAAAATTCGACAACATTTCCCCTATAAACTGTACTAGCCAATTTTACATATTCCACATGTCAACACACAGCTCATCTATCGGGCAATTTACATTAACCGATCCCGTCCGCCGTAACCATTATTCATTCGTTCATTCAATTCACACAGTCCATTCATCGGGCACATTCTCAATCAAACTAAATTCCCAAGATATAATTAATTGTTCTATAATTATTTACTTGTTTACACCATAAATTAAAGTTCTTCCTAATACTATATTTATTAAAGTTCCTAAAATTAATTTTTATAATTGTTAGTTAGTGTCACGACCCGATTCCATGGGCCAGACCGGCACTAGGGCCCAGGTGAATGGTTGAAGAAATGTGGGAAAGAAGTGTATTTGGTTGAATATCCAAATGTCATCCATGGATTTTACTGTATGTCAGAATTACCTGAATCTTCTTTGTTGATTAGTGAAATCAGGACGTTTATTAGAAAGCAAACGGCTAGTTCCTAGTCCTTTTTTTTTTTTTTTCCTTTTTTTCTTTTTGTTATTTGTAAAATAGAAATTATTGGTGAGATTTGACTATTAATATAAATTTCTGAATAATATAATTTAAATAAGGGACTTATATTAAAAAATTCTACAACTGCGGAGTCACTAACTGATTGATATACATAGCCTTTTATACATACAGTTACATAGTGAAATAATTATGGAACTAAGGAAAATTCCTTTAGTGCCCTGCGTCGAAGAAACGTATCCTAAATCGAATTAGAGAGAAACTTACTTCCTGAAAAATTAGACAAGATATGTGAGGCTTTCTAAGGAGTAACTATTTTACACACACCACACATTTCACAACATTGTGTAATATATTAATCTAGTCGTCCGATAGTTATATGCTCACGCACGACCAGTTTCACCACAATTGGCATGTCACCAGTTACTCACAAACAATATCACCTTCAAATAATCACATCACGTGGAATTTGGATCTAAGCGTGATCACCGGAAACCCCCGATGAGCCGTCCTCCCACATTGGCCCCATCCTCTCATAACGTTGTGCCCCCAACCAAGGGAAAGGGCCGATCCCCCATTACTGGCCGACCGGTCTAATCTCACTTGAACCTTCATATAATCATATCACGTGGAAATTAGTCAGTGGCATCACCGAAACCCCCGACGAGCCGTACTCTCACATGGCCCATCCTTTAGACGTGTGCACCTGGGGAGCCAATCCCCAATACCTGGCCGACCGGTCTAATCCTCATATGACCAGTCCTCTCATTGTTTTTACATTCTCTCTTTTCTTTTCCCATATCATACATATCATATCATCAGGTGCACATGGGGGCTCCGATCTCCATTTACCCGGCCGACGGTTCAATTTCATAATTTCAACATAATCAGGATCTATACTTTATCGACCGTCCTCACAAACCCATGGTGACCCACTTCATTCCAATTCCACACAAACAAGGCACAACAATATCACAACACAAGTAATCAAACAATTTTAGACATTATAATGCAATGCGTGATTAAACATCCAAAATCAATGCGGATAGATAAATAAATAATAGTATTGACAATAAACAACAATAATAATAAAATAAATAACGATAATAACAATAAGGATGAAAATAAATAAGTAAATATGTAAATAATGAAATCTATAATAAAGATAATAAATAATCAGAGCACTTATGTACCAAAATTAAGAAACTTACTTCTAGACTAAACTTCATTTTATTATGTGATTAATTAAAATTTAGTTCTAGTTTTCTTGTCAATAATTTTCGGCGCAACCTCCCCTAAAAATCGGAACTATTCTACCTGCTTACATATCACAATATCATTATCTCTTTCTTCAATCAATTCACACAGCCCTCCGTCGGGCAATCAATCAATTAAAATTCCATCCTCATTTCATAACAACAATAATCAACACCTCAACTTAAAAATTTACAAACTTTCTATAATATCCATATAAGATCATTTATAATTTAAATTATTTAGCCCTTTACGGTAACTAATTTGTTTGAACAGCTAAAAAACATATTTTGCCATTAACTAATTATTACCCTATTACCTATTAAAATTTCACATTTTTAATCCGATATCGGAAAATGACTAGGCCTCCCAAGTCCTTTAATTTATAAATTTTCGATTCTCAAGCCGTTAACAACTTTAAAATTTCGCCCTTTACTTCTCTTTATGCACAATCGGCCTAGTTTTGATCTATGGTTATCTAATAACTATTAACTAATTAACTAATTTCTAATTTTATTCTTTTCCTCAAATCACCTAGTCATAATATATATCATGTACTTTTATTTTGGACCAATGTTTTCTTTAAACTAATTTACATTAGTTTATCTCTAAAGTCCTTAACAGTTAACAAATCATGTCGTATCCAAATACGACACTTAATCAATCTTAATATACAAAAGACTATAAATGTTCATTATTTTTTTTATTTTTTTTTATTTTTTTTTTACTTTTTTTTTTTAGTTAATTCAATAAGTTAATATCTTGTTATTCAATTTAGTCTATTTAATAACTCGATTAAATTCATTAGTCAATTAATTCTTTATATATATAAAAATTAAGAATTTAATCTTAGAACATACCCATTGGGAATCGGGCGACAATTCCATGATCAGCGCGAAGAGAAGAGGATTCTGTCTCTCGGGGCCTCGCCGGAGTGCCGCCGTCCGGTCACCGGACCGCCGCCGCCGACCGCCATGCACGGTGGTCGGAAATTCAAATCATCACCAAAATTAACAAACAATCTATCATTTTATTTGTTTCGATGAGAGGATCATTAATATGTATTCAAATCAAGGTGGGTACGAACTATTTGGCCGGAAATTGATCGGAAAGGTTCGGTGATACCCATTTTGGTCAAATCAAGGTGGGTGTGAACCAGTTGGCCGGAAATTAATCGGAAAGGTTCGGTGATACCCATTTTGGGTTTTCCGATTCCGGCTATTACAGTCGACGAGGAGGCCATCAAATTAAAGAGGAAGAAGAGAGGAGTCATTTGGTACTCACCTTGCGCCCTTGGCTTGCCTGAAACGGCGTGAATCGCCGGAAAAAGTTGTCCCAAACTTCAAGCTCTTCCCCTTCAAAATAGACACAATTTCAGTTCAAATCTAAGCTATAATCTTCTTCCTCGCGTTGAGTAGATGTTTTTAGAGTATTTCATTTGGCCGAATTTGGTGCCGGAGGAGCCGACCGGATCGAGAAGAAGAGGGAGGAGATGGAGAGGATGGTGGTGCACTGCTCATGAAGACGGAGAGGTAAGAAAAGAAAACGAAAAAGAAAAGAACCAAGAAAAGAAAAAGAAAGGAATGGGCGGCTCCCGGTTCCGATTCGAACGCGGTTTCTCCTGGTCCGATTCAGCTGACTGTGGTCTCATTTTCGTCTTTGGGTTTCAACATAGTTAAATTGACTTTTTTAGGTGCCGGTTTTTAACTTATGCTAATTATTTCAGTTGGATCGATAAAATCTCTTCACATTCTACATTTCTTAATAGATACAACCCAAATTAAAAGATATAATAAATTAATTTGGTATTAGTTATACTTCGTTAGAGTTCCCATTTATATTCATCAAAGATTTCCGGACTAGTCTGTGTATTGAGGCTTGCCCTAATTCAAATTCGAGGCTCAAGTAAAACTGTGCTCGGTCTTAACACACCACCATAACTATCCAACATTTGGTTTTGATTTAAATTATAAAATTTCCAAGTTTTTGAAAATTAAAATTTCGGGGTATTTCAGTTAGAATTCTTATTTCAATATTCTACCTCACCATCATTCTTGCTCGGTCTTAACAACCCATACTATCCAAAAATTCGGGTTTTTGATTTAATAAAAATTCCAAAGTTTTGAAAATAAAATTTCGGGGTATTTCAGTTAGGAATTCTTATTTCAATATCTACCTCATATTTATAATTAATGTTTGTGAAGTATATTTTACAATATTCAATTTAATTCACTTAAATATTTAATTAAATTCATTAATTAATTAATTTGGAATTTATGCAAAATTTGTGAATTGAGTCTTAGAGTGTACCGATTGAAAATCGGACTACGACTACGCGAAGAGGAGTTCATTCTACCTCTTGGAGCCTCGCCGGACCACCATCGCCGCCGTGCACGGTGGCCGGAAAAGTCCAAACCACCCAGAAATTTGCAAGAATTCCAACACCCGACTCGAAATTTCATGAGGAGTTCATTTCTAGTGTTAGTTTAGTAAGACTGGTCCTTTAGTCGGTCGAAACATACTCGACAGCCAGCCCTCACCGCCGTTCACCTTGGCTCCTCAAAACGTGACTGAAATCTTCATTTCTTAAGGAGAACTACTCGCAGTGGCATGCAGAATCGATCTGAGCTCCCCTTGGTGGTTGGAGTTGCCGGATTCAAGGGAAATCGACGGCAACTCGACTGCCACAGTGAACGGTGCCTTCTCGCCTTGATTCCTTTCTAACAGGGCCACCATGGCCTATCTTAAAGTCATTTTCGTGCTTGCTTCATCGAATTGATCCCGTTGGTGTGTTTGCTTGCCAGTTTTAATGGCGAAAATCGGAGGATGAACGGGGAAAGGAGAGGGAGGCGCTGCGAAGGAGAAGAAGAAAAGAAAAAGAGGGAAAAGGAAGCGGGTTCTAGAGCCTTCTAGGCCAATTCGGTTCGATTCGAACTGGGTTGGCTCAAATCAGCGACTCGACTCGATTTTTATTTAGTTTACTGGTTTTTCACTTGGTTTTCGAAAAAATCAAAACTGATTTATGGGTCCGGTTTAGTAATAATATTTTTTTTTTTCGTTGATTTCATTGGTTAGGTTTTATGATTAAATTTTTAAATGAGTAATTTTTGAAAATAATATTTCGGGTCATTTCAAAAAATTAGTACACCATTTTCAATATGATTTTGATTTGGTTTTTATTTAATCATATTGCTTAAACCAAATTATACCATTTACTTAACAAATTCCAAAAAGTTACAATAATTTATTATTTATGGTATAAAAACTTTATACTAAGTTGGAGTTTATTTTTTTAGGGTATAAGTTAAAGTTATTGATTATTTTCTTATTGGACTATATATATAAATATGTTGTTAATTTTTTAAATCAAATTAAATAGTAAAAGATAATATATAACAATCTAACAAATGTAATCACAAGTAATTATTTTCATGTGCTTTTAATATCAATGGTAATTAATTGAACAAACGTATTTAAGAGGTAAATAAATTATACTTCACAATAATGTTTAATGATTATATGTAAGTTAAAATATTTTTGTTTATCTTAAAAAGGTATTAAATCTCCCTTTAAAGAAAAAAGAATTATTACTAGGATTGGTATATTTTTATTCACATTAGACATATTATAAAATCATTTAACTAATAAGTATAATATTATATAGTTTTATGAGATTGATATAGTTCAAATCTATACTATAAATAAATGTAGAAATATGAGGGGAATAATGAGATTTTCGATAGCGCCCTTAATGAAATTTAAATATCCTAAAATAGTCTTAGTAACAAAAATTAAAAAATTATATTTTATTAATTGATTGGATATAATTTATTAAAAATATTTTTAAATAAATACATTAGATAATTAAGTATTTTAAAATTTTAAGTTTTAAAATTTTAGTTTTTACTTTATTAATTTTATTTTTTAATAAATATATATGATAATGAGATATTTAAAAAATTTTTATAATTTTTTTTTTAAAACTAGTCATCAATTTGTTGCTTCGCGCACAGCATGCTTAAATATTTTTTTAATAAATATATATGATAATGAGATATTAAAAAATTTTTATATTTTATTTTTAAAACTAGTCATAATTTCGTGCTTCGCGCACAGATGCTTAAATATTATTTTAATAATAATGATTATTAAATCCTATTTAAAAAGCTTTTGATATTTACATTAAAACTAAGAATAAAAGTCTTTCGGTCAAATAATGGTCTTTGTACATAAAATATTAATATTTATGTATATTTCCTATACTTATCTTCTAATTTTACATTGTTAGAAATTATTTTAATAGTCAAACTCTTTTAGTTGTAATATGAGTAATTTAATAAACATAATGTGTGTAATTAAAATTTTTATTTATAACAATTCGAAAACCTCAATCATTAGAGCTCAAGATAAACTTAATATAAATTTCAACAAATTCCATTTCAATTTAATATATATATTATAAATTTTGAACATATATGCATATACATATATTTGGATATCAATTTAAATACGAATCAACTAAAAATTTAATAATAAATATAGTAATAGTAATTTAATTAAAATTATGCTACTTTTATTATAATGACTTTGAATTTGCTCTCTAACATAGATTAGTCTTACCGCAATTTAATTTGAGCGATTAATGTAAGAAAGAGCATATGTAAAAATAATAAATATTAATTAAGTCATTTCAACAAAAACCTCAGTAAAAACAAAATGGAAAAAGAAGATGGGGTCTTTCTTTCTCCCTCTCTCCCAGTATTTGTGTGTCTCACTCATGAGAAAAACAAATGCTATGACTTTCATAAGATAATTAGCCAACTTTGTATAAACTGTTGTCTTCCCCAACTCCTCATAAACCAACCAGTAATATGATAGTGGAGCCAAATTTAAAAAAAAACCAATTTAAATACTTCTTCCCCATTAATTCAGAAGCTCATCACTCAAAAGAATAATAAATTTACATAATTTGTTTATTCCAATAGAACCCAAAAGAACAACATTAAAAATGAGAAACACACACATCAGCTTCTACTGTTAAGTTTGCTAGCTGCCAGCAACTCTATTTGCTTCCCTGTAATAATGACCTATTTTAATAAGTCAATCCTTAGCCAACCACCTTCTAACAGTAGATGTGACATCCTACCAAGTCGAGTTGAGTCGGGCTAAACCAAAATCTGGTTCAAGCCATTAGAGTCCAGAGTGTGGTAGTCTAGGATTTACTATAATCATGATAAGAAGTGGATTTATTTGCATGAAGTAAAAAGATCAAAGTTTAGGACTTGCTTGCACTAAAATATAAAGCTTGGGTATTACTTTAGGACTTTGCTTACACTTAAAATATAAAGCTTTGGGTCTTTAAGTTATAATCTTTTTGGACCAATTTGCATACATCCGGTTCATTTGCAGGTTAGATTATTTGCCACAACAATATATCCCCTAAATGAATTTATGGTGCGACAACTCAGCACACACGATAGACAGATTCTCTAATGCTACACTTCCACGAACTGATCCGCTCATCTTCAATCTTCCTTTCATTCTACCTTCCTTATACCTTACTTCCCATTTTCCTGTCCTCATAAAGTTATTTTTTAATGGTATTAACGCATTAAATTGTCAACCTCCCTCTCCGTTATGCGAATAAGTCCAAAAAGCTAGCTAGAACATATTTCTCAATTGGAAGCGCTACCTCGTCATTGTCTCAATTCTATTAATCCAGCACTCCTAAAAACCGTTCAGTATATATCATGCTAGGAAGATATTTTCCCATAAGAATTACTTATCGCTATTCCGGAGTCACAGACTTGAAGCCCTACAAAACACCAACACCCCCCCCACCCCACCCGGTTACGAACAAGAAAAAAGGGAAGCTTAAAGAGGAAGAGCTCAATCGTTTTTGGAGGTTTTGAAGGTTTGATAATCTTCTTGTCATTTACCACACTTATCTTATTGCATGAGACTTTATGTGGTGTGTTGCTAATTGGAGGAAAATATCATTGCCTTAATGTTGACGTGAGAGCCGCTGTAACTGGTGAGAAAACATGGGATGTATGAACAATCAAATGATAGGTAAAATAAATATTGAGGTTCTATACTTAAAAACGATTTTGCATTCCGGATAACAATTTTACCAGTAACTTCACCTCTTCGATTTTTTACCCTAAATTATAACGATTGAATTAGAAAGTTTGTCCTAGACAGAGTCTATTTGTTCCCTATTGTGATTAGCTCTTCCATTTAGGTTTTGAATCACCCAACTCGGAGAAGTTATACGATTGAGAGCGAATATGACCAAGAAATCAAGGTTTACTGACTGCTGCTAGGCCTGGAAAACACGACAGCGGCATGGCTTCGCGAACATTTTCAAATTCGGCTCGAGCTTCCGCGAAAAAATGTGTCCTGAAAATCCTA